GAAAGCTTCCAAGACCAAGGCACATTATCATTGCCTTTCAGACCAACTAGTCCCTCTGTTCCTCTTTCACCATTAACCCACATAGTTAAAAAGGCCAAGTTCTCTGCTTCAAAAACGACCCGTTCTGTCCATGGCAGCCATTATTAGATCTCTGATACGATATCCACAGCCTTACTTGATTTGGTTTTTTTCATTTCTCATAACACAAGAAGTAAAACGAAACAACTCAAATGTATGTACACTGAATTGACTAGCAGCTTCCTGTAGAATCCGTATCAAGAGCTTACTTCAAAAACTAAATGTCAGCTCATTAGCTTCCACCAAGAACTCTCTTGAGGTCATTCTTCTGTTCTGATGTTAGCCTTGACGGGAACAAGATCTCAAAGCTAACTCTGAGGTCTCCTCTTTTCAAAGGGTCTTTGGTAGGCATTCCCTCGTTCGGGATCACAATCTCCTGACCCGGTTTTACGATATCCAGTACCGGGATTGTTAGGTTCCTTCCGTCTAGTGTCACCAGGCTAACGGTGACACCGGTTAAAGCATCTATAAGAGAGATTTCCTTCTCGACAATCAGATCGTTACCGTCTCTTTTGTATACCGAATGCGGTTTCTCGTCTACCACGAATATGAGATCTGCAGGAGTAACACCTGGTTCTTGGTTTCCTTTCTCTGGGAAAGTTATCTTTGTGCCTTTCTTCCAACCTGGTTTTATGTCTATCTTCAATATCTCTTGAACTGTCTTTGGCCTTCTGTAACAAAGAGGGCAGAAATTGAAGCTCATATTGTTCCACCACAAGATCAATCACAGATAAAATCAATTCTACAAACATCAATCTTTCACTGAAATCATTGAGTTTTCCAGAACATTCAACAAACGAAACTGATTGAAATCATCAAAGAACAAATTGATCAATGGGATTGCACGAGATGAGGAAGAAACTAACCCAAAATCATCAGGAACAACGCGAGAGATTCGCATCTTCTTCTTCGCACCTTTGTAGAGCTCCTCCAGTGTGCAAGCCAATTTGCTCTCAATAGCCGGAGCTTTCCTATTCGCCGGCGGTGTCTTTCTGTTCGCCTGACTTCCTGCTTCTGCACTTTTAAACCTCCTCCCCCCGCCGCCGCCACCATCTCCACGTGTCCTTCCGCTGCTTGCTCCGGTGGATCCGTCAAAAGTACTCTCAGATGCGCCGAAAAACTCTGCAAAGATATCTTCGGCATCACGCGGATAATACCGAAACTCAGAGTTACCAGACGAGTAACTCCGCTGCTGAGCCGCCGTCTCAGCCGCAGTAGGTAAATCGGAGGATTTAAGTCCTTCTTCTCCGTATTGATCGTAGATCTGGCGTCTTTGAGGATCGCTCAGAACGTCATAGGCTTCGGAGATCTGTTTGAACTTAGCTTCTGCTTCTTTTTTGCTTGTTGGATTTTTGTCAGGGTGCCATTTCATCGCCATTCTCCGGTAAGACTTCTTTAGATCATCTTCGTTAGCGTTTCGACTCACCTTGAGCACATTGTAGTAATCAATCCCCATTGATCCCAAATCTTTCACC